GATGTGAAATACAGGAAAGAAGGGAGAAAGTGGGGGGAGGAGGGGAAAGGGCATTTATTGAAACCTTAAAATCTGTACCCCCATAATATGCCGAAATAAAAAAAAAAAAAAAAAAGGAAGGGAGAAAGTAATCAAGAATGTAATCAAGGTTGGGGCATGTCATTTACAATTCTGAATACCTTCCTCCCACATAACAGGTACTTGAAGATTTGCTGAATTAAAGATCTGCCAGTGTGAGCATGGATAAGTCCTATAAATTAATAGAGACATGGAAAAGTAATGATATGGGATGAGAGGCCCAGAATCTGAAAAAAAAAAAAAAAAGACTTAACACCATTAAGGCTTTAAAATAAAAACAAAAAACAAGACTATTACTCAAAGTATACCAGGAAGCTGATCTCAACTGACCTCAAACATTTCATCACTATGGTACTAAATAGGGTGAGGAGAGCTGATAGGTCTCTTGAAACTCTGCTCAAGGCTACCTAAAGACGTCTGTGTATTATTCACTGATAAACTATTATATTTAGGAGAACCAAATTAATTAAATTTATTTACTTACACACTTACTTATTTATTTAGAGATGGAGTCTTGCTTAGTCACCCAAGCTAAAGTGCAGTGGCGCAATCAACACACTGCAGCCTCAAACTCCTGGCCTCAAGTGATCCTCCCGCCTAGGTGGAATCCCAGGCACTCAGTGCCTGGCTCAGTGGTTATCTTTATATAGTTGAGTATAGTAAGAATTCTGGTACAGAAAAGATATATATTAATATATATCTTTATATATACACATTTTAATTCTAAAAATTAGAATTTAAACTAGAATTTACTTTACAATTCTAAATTAATTACAATCTTTGAATTTGCAACAACAGCAAAAAGAAAATTCCTTCCTATATAACCTTCACCTAGATTCACCAATTGTTAACATTTTGTTCCATTTGCTTTATCTCTCTTTCTCTATTTTCTTTCTTTCTTTCTTTTCTTTTCTTTTTGAGACAGAGTCTCACTCTGTTGCCTGAGCTAGAGTGCCGTGGTATCAGCCTAGCTCACAGCAACCTCAATCTCCTGGGCTCAAGCGATCCTCCTGCCTCAGCCTCCCGAATAGCTGGGACTACAGGCATGTGCCACCATGCCCGGCTAATTTTTTCTATATATTTTTAGTTGGCCAATTAATTTCTTTCTATTTATAATAGAGACGGGGTCTCGCTCTTGCTCAGGCTAGTTTCGAACTCTTGACCTCGAGCTATCCGACCGCCTCAGCCTCCCAGAGTGCTAGGATTACAGGCGTGAGCCACCGCGCCCAGCCTCTTTCTCTATTTTCCATAAACATTTTGGGACAGACACATCCTTTTACCCCTAAACATTAATACTTCAGGATGTATTTCCTAAAACCAAAGATATTCACTTACATAATCACAGAACAATTATCAAGATTAGGGAATTTAACATTGATAAAATACAATTATCTAATCTATAGACCTCAAATGTTGCCCATTCTCCCAATGTCCTTTTAGTTTCTTTCTTGCAACTTTTGTTTCTCTGGTCTAGGATCTGATCTAAGATCAGACTACACATTTTGTTTTCAGGACTCTTTAGTATCCATTATTCTGGAACAGTCAGATTTTCGGCCTTTACCTTTTATGAAACCAATACTTCTGTAAAGTACAAATCAGCTGTTTAACAGAATGTCCTTCAATTGGGGTTTGCCTGACATTTCTGCATAAGATTCAATGTTATGCCTTTTTTGGCAGAAATGTCACAGAAGTAATACTTTATCTTTCTCAGTGCATCACACCAGGAAGTACAGTATGTCAGTAAGTCCCATTACTGGCAATGTTAATTTGATCACTTGGGTAAAGGGGTGTTTCTCTACTATAAAGTTATCATTACCCAACTATGATTAATAAGTAACTTATGGGGAGATATTTTAGACTATATAAATGCCCCATTCATAAAACTTTCACTAATAACTTTAGCATACCCTGATGATTCCTGCCTGAATCACTTATCACCATGATGGCTGCAGAATGATTCTTATAACTCTTTCCATCTTGCAAATTTATTTATTTATTTATTTTTTTGAGACAGAATCTCCCTTTGTTGCCCAGGCTAGAGTGAGTGCCGTAGCGTCAGCCTAGCTCACAGCAACCTCAAACTCCTGGGCTCAAGCGATCCTCCTGCCTCAGCCTCCCAAGTAGTTGGGACTACAGGCATGCACCACCATGCCCGGCTTATTTTTTTCTATATATATTAGTTGGCCGATTAATTTCTTTCTATTTATAGTAGAGATGGGGTCTCGCTCTTGCTCAGGCTGGTTTTGAACTCCTGACCTCGAGCAATCCACCCGCCTCAGCCTCCCAGAGTGCTAGGATTACAGGCGTGAGCCACCGCGCCCAGCCTTGCAAATTTATTAATTGGCATTCTATGGTAAGCAGAAGCTTTTCTTTACACCCCATGTATTTACTTATTTATTAAGAATATGGATTCCTATTTAATTCAATAGGTTTATAATCCATTTTATTTTGATATTCAATAGTCCCAGATATGGTAAGTGGGAGCTCCTTCAAGCTGATTCATCTCTGACATGTCCCCACCATTCATCTGAGCACTTCCTTGCTTTCTGGCACAAGATGTTCCTTTGTGTACTTTCCCTGTACCACCCCCGGAATCAACCATTTCTCTAAGTGCTGGGTCCTTTTCACAGGAGAAATCAAGATCTGATCTCACTGCTAATGGCATATTACTGCTTCTAGGCCCTTTCAGCACAAAGAGCTAGGAGATATGTAATATTAATAATTTTATGTATTTTTAAAAATTACATTCAGCTTAAGAAAAACAACATATTTTCCACTACAGCATTTAGGGAACATATACTCAACAGAAATATCCATACAAAAATTGTATAATGAAATGCTTTTAATTATTGATTTTTCCTTTTAAACTTCATATAAATTTTTCTTCTACTATACAAATAGTCGGCTAGTAATATAAATCTTATAATTTTATGGAAACAAAGCACACATAAAACTGTAATTTGATCATTTCAGGTTTATCAGTCAAAACTAGAAGAACCTCTTTTCCAATGGTAAGAGCAAAGAAGATTTAACAAAGCCCAAGAATAATTAATATTTGAAAAATAAGAGAATACAGAAAGCTTTAAGCCATTTTTTTCTAAGACTATAAAAAAATACTAAAATTAAACTAGGTAAGTTGATCAGAGAGAGATTAATCTGAAAGAAGAGAAATTAAAATTATTTAAAATACTAATTCTTTAGCTCTCCTTCATTGCCCTAAGAACTACTGGAATAAGGTGTGAGAATCCTTGAAAATGACCATTCTACCATCTCCACCCAACAAACGGAGGCAGCTGGATCGATAATTTTGTATGAGACAAAAGAAAGTGGGGTATTCATAGGGAGCTACATAAATGCTTGGATGCTTACACATTACCGCACATCTGATCAAGACAGGCTAATAATAAGGCAGAGGGAATATACTCTGAAGGTTTCTTTTTTACCTAAATCTGTTCCTCAGGTTTACTCAATTTTATCACAGATTCTCTTAAGTGATTTCATTTAACCTAACCAGCATTTTTTAAATATCTACTTCCAGAGCTAAGTTAGATATTCCCTCCAAATATACCTCCTCTGTGGCTTCACCAGCAAGTCCTCCAATCCCTCTCTTTTTACTTACTTAATCACCTCTTCCCCTTCACACCACCTTGTTCCCTACCCTATGCAGACTTCATAGTATCATCTAGCATTTCAGCAACCATCTTGGCAGAATCCTCAGGATATTTCTGCAGGATGAGTTTCAATGTTATGTTTTTTTGGCAGAACACTTGCCCTTCAGGTATACCATTCTGTAAACTGCTGATATGGAAGGCTGGCCTAAGAATCCCTCAGGAACATTAGATATCTGAAGCTCTCACACCACCAGCTATACTCCTGTATCTTGAATCTCCCTTTCTTTTGGTTTATAAAAGTGCTCAAGTATCTTGCGTGTAAAAAAAAAACAAAACAAACAAACAAACAAAAAAAAACTTCATCTTTTAAAAACTCCAAGTTTCTAAAAGAAAAGCTTTTCCTTCCATTTATTCAACTCACTGCAATCTGGTTGTTACCCTGGAACCTTTCCCTCTTCCTCATCCAAAAGGTTACTCTTGCCTTTACATGGTTACTCTTGCCTTTATTCCTCTATTTTCCTTACTCCAACTGCTTGAGGTCAGCCCCTTATCTGTTCTCATAAAGACTACTACAGTAATGCCCTAACTCATCTCCTTGCCTCTAATCTTTCCTTCAAAAGTCCCCCTTCTTACCTACCTCTCTATACACTGCTCCCAGAATCCTTTACAGAACCCAAATCACATTTTTCCCATGTTTAAAATAAATCTAAACAAATCTATGACTTCTCAATGCCTAAAAATTAACACCCAAGTCTTTATCATGAAATAGAAAGTCATCTATTATCTGGCCCTTATCCACCTGTTTTTGTAGAAATCTTCACCCTGTTGAGCCACCCATACTTTTTTGTGCCATAAGCTCTAGTCTCCATGAATAAGTAAATACATAAATCGCAGAACCATGCTAGTGACCACAAATGCCCCGTGCTCATACTGCTCCATCTTCTGGAATCCCCATGCTCCCCTTCTGACTCAGTTTACTTTTAATACTTATCTGTCAAGATCTAGCCCAAGTATCTCTTGCCGTTAAGCCTTTCTGAACCACCCAAGTAGAGTCTGTCAGTCTTTTTGTGACACCACTTCGTCTATGTATCTCTAATATAGCATATCACTTTAATGAAATTGTTAATCTCTTTCTAAATTGTGAGCTCCTTGAAGTCAATAGTTTTTTATCCATCACTATATCCTCCATGCCTGTCACCCCAATAGGTATTCAAATAAATACTGTTGAATAAATGAAATTAAAAAGTAGAATACAGAATGAGATGATTTCATACAAATAACAGAAACCTGAATGTTAAAAAATATCCCTACCTGATAACTAACTGCTTTCTTTCCATCACTTCTAGTTTGAGGTAAGGTCAATGGTCCAGATACTACCCAAACATCTTCAAACCTCTCTGTCAGTTCTCGACAGTACATTTCTATTCTGCAAAACAAAGCAAAAAATGTATGATATTCTCACATACATATAGAAAAGCAGCAAATCCTATCAGTTCCTAGGAAAGGCACTAAGAATACTGCATTTGAGAAATTATCTTAAGTGAGAACATGGAGGAATATTATTTTGAGTAGTCTGTCTCAAAACTTGACTTTTGAACAGGGGCAAAGATGATCAAAAAGGCGGCTATATTTTGAAGTCTATTCTTCCACAGAAGAATATACTCCCAAAATACAGCAAAGAAAACTGGTCCAAAGTACTTACTTTCAGAGGGCTAGCTTTTGAAAAACAAAGACAGAAACAATTAATACACACATTAGTATATTCTCCTGACACATCATTCACCTTCCACAGAAGCATATTTTAAAAACTCTCACCCCTCACCTGTTCCAATATCCAGAATTATTATCAAAATCCTGAGGTACAATGTTAGAAAGGTAAAAGGTTTCAGCCATGGCTTTCTGTGAAAAGAAAGAAAAATAATAATTTGCACAGAAATAGCCTTCTCCTTTAAAAGATATTTTACAAAGCAGACAGAGAAAACCAGTTCCTTATACATTAGCTCTAGAGACAATCATTGACTATTTGTTTATATAAATCAAAAAATAGCCGTTCCAGGACAGAAAGCTATTATGATGATTATTCCAAATAAGGACAACAAACTAGTTTTGTGTGCTTACCTTCATCATTTATAAAATCCAAGCCTATGATATAAATTTTAAGAACTAAAAGTTTCCAATATAAAGCTTAAGGGTAATTTCTGATTTTAAGCCACTAGCAAAGAGTTTCTCAATAAAGGTCAACTCTCAGAAATTGTTAGTTAAGTAGTACAGTATAAACATACTAGTTCAAAAGTGGCAGAGAAAAAATTCCTTGTCCTTCTGAATATGTGACCACTATGTGTTAATTCACTTCATATCTCTGACCCTCATACACAAGGCTCTATCTTGTATTTCTTTTCATTGATCTATACTAACTGCCAATGCCACAATTACCTTCTCTTCAAGCAGTGGCTCTCAATCTTGGGTGCACATTAGATTAACCTAGGGAGCTTTAAAAATATTGATGCCTGGGGTCCCTTCCCTGAGAGTTTGTGATTTAATAAGTTTGGAGTACAAGTCCAAGCATCAGGATTTTTGAAAACTTCCCCAAGTGATTATAATGAATGAGTATCCAAGGTCGAGAACCATTGTCTTAATGATGATAACCACCAATAGTGCACATAATAAATGTCAATGTTGTGAAAGATACTCCTCCCCTTTTTAACAAGGAATCACTATAGATTATGTCTAACGAGATATGACAACTAAATGTGAAGTGCGACTCATAATTGGATACTGGATCAAAAAAAGCTGTAAAGGATATAATTGAGACAATTTGGAAAGTCTGAATATAAATTGTATTTTAGGTAATATTAATGCACAAATATAAAAAAATACATTTGTATACCCTTTTTGGTATGATACTCATACACGAATGATACTCATATATATAAATATCCTCTTTCTTAGATGATACATGCTCCTGTACAATCTATTTAGGGATAAAGTATTATACATCTGCAACTTTCTGTTGGTGATTTAAAAATATACGTATGTATATATAAAGTAAACGTATGTATATATCCAAATGCATTTGTTGTGTTGTTTTTTCAACTTTTCTACAAGTTTCAACAAATTTTCTATAAATTTTGAAGTTTTTCAAAATAAAAATGAGTAGCTTCAGCTCTCAGTGGCTTTGCTATTCCCTTTTTATAGCAATTAGTTTTCATCATTCAACCTGTTTAAAAGTCTTGACATCTGAACAAAAACAATTAAAGTCAGAAAAAAAACAAGAAAATAAGACTATGGAAATTCTCCAGTTTTATGGTTGGTTCCTAGATTTTTAATCTCCAAATCCTACTATACACATACCATAATACCATCAGCCCAATATTCCCATTCTTCCCCCAAAATATGCCTACATTTGAAAATTTATTATTTCCTGCTGGAGCCATGTGTCCTCGTGACCACCCGCTCCCAATATAGTCCTCATTGAAGGCACTGAAGATTGGAGGGATGTTAGGATCAGGCTTGAATTTACAATGTTTTCTGTCTGCATCACCTGAAGAAAAACACACAAAATGACTAAGTCATCAGTGGATAAAATGATTTTCTAAGCAAGGCGAGCTGGTTGCTACTGGCTTTCTTTGCAAGCAGCAAGTACTAGGGAGTGCATGCATGTCTTAAGTTCCTCAAATAGTTCAGATACTTCATCTGAACTTAGAAAGTACTGGTCTAGGAAACAATGCTTTTCATACAGTACAGTTATCTCATATAATTTTGATTCTGGTCTTTCCACTTAAAGAAAAACTCCTTTGGATAATATTTAAGTAAAAACAATGACCAATCAAATAGATAAGCTGTATAAAAACCTTGGCTACTAAATAAACTCATGTTAAAAATACCCCCAGGCATCATATCGTACTATTATATTTTGACAAGTTGATGTATACTGAAATTACGGATATATAGAGACAGGAAATAATTTGTTCTGAGCACGCACAGCCTGGGGGATGGGGAGAGGGGTGTCTCTGATATCTTGCTTACTACATGACAAAACAAACCTTTTAAGTTATAAGTTCCACCCAGAAATTCCTAAAACAGGGTATCTGAGTACCACATGGGGGGAAAAAATCTGTTTTTACTTATTTTCTGATACTTCCAGAATGGTTTGCTACAGAGGACACCAGCAAATCTCAACACTACATTTTCCACTATCATTAGGTTAAACCACAAAAGTTATGAAGAGAAATTAAACACTGCTACTCAAAGAAGTATAAAGTGGAGATCAATGAAACTAATGATTCCAATGTGATTTCATTCAGCCAAGAAAAGCTTAAAGCTATCAGATCCCAAGGTTCAGAGTAAGGTAATCAAACTAACCTTTTAAAATCACTTCATGAAGAAAAAAATAACTGCTAATACAGAAAAATTATCATTAGCACACGTTTAAGTGCCATTACAATTGGAATCACTTCTTTGTATGCCTAGTTATCATTGCCTGGTGCCCACTGCCCTTGAAAAATCATTTGTGGGAATTTCCAAAGGCCTAAGAAGATGATGCCTTCCTTGAGAAAAGATGTAAATTTACTTCTATCAGGCAACCAGTAGCTTACCAGTGGAGAACCTTATTAAACCAAGCCCAGGGATTAAGGAGCTACACTTGATGCATGGATTTGGCTGCAAGCCTGCATCATAGCCAGTTTGTGGCTTCAGCTTCTTTGGGACAAGCTTTTTATTTTCCTTCTCTGCTCTGTGCCAAGGCAACCTTCCATATACAATGGGCAGGCATAGGTCAGTTCCTCTTTTCTGAGGGTGGCCTTTTGGAGTTCCAGGTTAATCTGGGCAGGGTCACCTACTAGAAAACCTACCTTGGGTGAGCCCTAGGTCTTTCCTTCAATCTTCCTCACCCTATTAGGCAGTGAAATAAATCAAAGGCAAATGTTGTTTTGGTTTGCCAGGACTGCCCTTACCTCTCTGGATTCTGGCTTTCCCTCAAACACTGGCCTGGCAATTCTCCACTACCCTGTTGGCTCTTCATTTTTCTTAAGTGATTTTTTTTAAAATACGCTTTTTGTAAACTGCTAATAACATTTCCTGCTGTTTTCAGCAGTAGAGTTAGTCTGAATAACTTAGTCCATTACTGAAAACAGAAGACCCTTTACACTAAAAGCAAGTAAAACATGGATATATTGCTCCTCATTTTCAAAAAAATTAATTGGCTCCATTTTACTGCCTCAAAATTACTCAGTTCACAGGATTTATAATATGAAATGTATTGCTCTTCTTTTATGCTTCTGAAAACGGTAACTTACTACAAGGATGAAATTAGTAAAATTGAAACTCCTTTTATCTTGGGAACATTTTTACGTTAAATTTATTAGGCTTGAGGCTAAATCCATTTCTTTTGATGTAAATTTATAATCATCTTTCAACTGCTGTGATAAAGTTTTCACCTATATCAGTTTCCCTCTAACAGCAAGTATATTCCAAGCCTCCCACTATTCTGCTAGTTGTTGTGTACTTTAGAATGGCACATACTAATTTTAACATCAGCATTTTAATATTCACAGAAATAGCATACAAGTCAAAGCAAAGGAGAATATGTGAACCATACAGCAAATTAAAAGGCAAATAAAGGCTGGGTGCGGTGGCTCACACCTGTAATCCTAGCACTCTGGGAGGCTGAGGCAGGCGGATTGCTTGAGGTCAGGAGTTCAAAACCAGCCTGAGCAAGAGCGAGACCCTGTCTCTACTATAAATAGAAAGAAATTAATTGGCCAACTAATATATATAGAAAAAATTAGCTGGGCATGGTGGCGCATGCCTGTAGTCCCAGTTACTTGGGAGGCTGAGGCAGCAGGATTGCTTGAGCCCAGGAGTTTGAGGTTGCTGTGAGCTAGGCTGACGCCATGGCACTCACTCTAGCCTGGGCAACAAAGCGAGACTCTGTCTCAAAAAAAAAAAAAAAAAAAAGGCAAATAACAAAATAGTAATAAAACAATTATGCCAAAAGTATTATACTTAATATATAAAAGACCTCCTACAAATCAAAAAAGAATATCCCAACTGAAAATGGGTAAAGAGTAATTTATAAAGGAAGAATAATTCACAATGTTAACCCTCGCTGATAATTAATAAACACAAGTAAAATCAGCTATTAAATTGGTAAAGCTCAAAAATACACATGCTCACCATGTGTAAGGGTTGGGAGATAGAACAGTGATGGTGAGTGTGTAAAATGGAAGAATCTACCTAGAAACCAATTTGACATTAGTTATCAAGATCTGACCATCTTAATTATAGTAACCTACCAAGACATAAGGACACATGAACAGATTTACACACTATCTCTCCAGCCTCATTTCACATCACATTCTCCCTCACTCCAGCCACTCTGGTCTTCTTTTAGTTCCCTAAA